TAAGGTAAGGAGAGAGTAGAGAAGGCTCTGTGCCAGGAAAATCATGGTGCCTTCTGGAAACCGAATAAAGTACAGCATGTCTGGGACACAGAAAACGTGGGGTATGTGCAGAGAGAGTGCTGGTGAAATAGCTACAGGGAAAACTACAGAGGGTCTTGATGTCCACTCTATGGATTTGAACTTTGGTCCCAAGTGCAATGGGAAGTCGTTGAAATCTTCTGCTTTATGCATAAAAATGCTAAAATTAGACTTATGTTTTGAAAAGATCATCTGCTGTGTGCACAGTGAATTAACGGGGAGTAGAATGGAAGTGGAGAGACCACTAAGCCGCTGTAGCAAAGTGGTATAGCTTGGATTGGGGGGTGGCACAAAAATAAACAAATGAAAAAAATCAGTGCTTTCATCGGGTAAACTTTGAGGAACTTGGTGTTGTTGAAGAATAAGTTGTACCCACGCTGGTACTGAGTCCTTGGTGCAGATTGGTTGGGTCAGCTTTTGCGACACACTGGTATGATATTTCATGCTGAGAAATTTGCACTTATACTATAAAAAGGGCCAATGGAGGTTAAGAAGCAGGAAAATGGAATAATCATATTAGAGTGTGCATGGAGGATTTTTATTTCTCTGCCCACCTACTTCTTGAGCCAGGCATTTACTGAATTTAGAGAAACAGATGGGAAGAAATGGTAGCATCATTGCAGGCAAAAATTGATGGGAGGCAGATTCCTTTGTCTAACAGAACAAAAGAGATATAAGGGAGGTTAAACTTGTCAGTGTGAAAGGCTTATTTATCTTGTAAATTCTTACCCTGAAGCCACCTAAGCCTTTTCTCAGGCAGGACCCAAATACCCCACTCCTCAAATGCAGCAGAGGATCCTAGCGTAATTGAATGAGGGTTGCCATTGTGGAAACATTCTCTGTAGGAGGGAGGAGGTTTACAAAAGTGTTAAAGGGGCCAAGAGATTGTTGGAGAGAGGACAAAGCAGGAGATCATCTAATGGAGACAGCTTTCCCTAGTGACAGGAAGAAGGTGGTCCTGTGCAGAGTTCTCAGCCTCTAAAACAGAGTTCCCATTACCATTGGGAGGCTAGGAGTCGGAGTGGGAAAATATTTGGGAAACCACATTCGTTATGGACTGTCTGTTGGAGTGTATGACTTGAACCTCAAGCGGGGCACCGTTTTTGAGATTCCTGACCCTCACCTCTGATAGGCAGAGAGTGAAATAACTTAGTTATTAATTGGACCACCCTTCCCTTCCATTCCTCAGGGTTGATGTGTTTAACATACTTGCACTGAGAGTGGTCTGAAGAGATGGAGTACTTGGAGGCTTTTGCAATTGGCTTAGAAAGAAGGCTGTCCACTGTGATGGAGGTGAACATGAGAACGATTGACAAGGCAGAGTCTTTGGAGGATGAAAAAAGAAGAAAAAAAAATAAAATGAGTTTTTTTTTCTACCTCTATGAAGTTTTAATCCTGTGCCACGTAATATGCTTCAGAAAATTAAATAAGGAAAGATAACATGTTAACCTTCCTTGCTGTATATCAAGGATAACATTGAATTCACATAAATAATTCTTTACTTTCAAATATGTAGACACTTCCCGTGAAGTCATGCTCACCTGTGATGTGCCTTTCTGCTTCTGTGCCTCTCCTTTGGTGGTGTTGACAGGCAGCATTCATTCAGAGAGTGAGATCAAACTTCCCATTGTTCATTTTTCAGGTGACAGAACTCAACAACGTGAAGAACGTAGCTCGATTGCCAAAGAGTACCAAGAAACATGCCATAGGGATTTATTTCAATGATGATACCTCCAAGACCTTTGCTTGTGAATCAGGTTTGTCTAAGGTGGGGGTGGGGAGCTTTTGCTTTTAGTTTTTGAGTGAGTGCTGGGCATACAAGTTCATCTTTGGGGTGTATATTTCCACAGATCTTGAGGCTGATGAATGGTGCAAAGTACTCCAGATGGAGTGTGTAGGGACGCGGATCAATGACATTAGCCTTGGAGAGCCTGACTTACTGGCAACCGGGGTTGAGAGAGAACAGAGTGGTATGTAAAGAAAAATCTCTCCTTTTCTCTCTTTTTAAACTGTTTTAGCCTCCCTATAATGAACCATAAGACGTCATTATGTAAAATTTTTGAAGTTATAGACATGTATTAAAAAAAATAAAAGTAATCTTTAATCTAACCCACAGCCTGTATAAATATTTCAGTGCACTTATTTTCTTAACATATATTTTTTCAATGCATATAACGAATGTATCTACACTAATAATATCTGTTAGAATTTTTGGGAAACCTGCTTTGTGTCAGTTTGGTGGAAGGTGCTTTACCCATATTAGATTATTTAATTTTCACAGCAGCCCTATGGCATAGATATTATTGCTTACCCCATTTTACAGATGAGGAAACTAAAGCTTAGAGGAGATAAAGGTCTTGCTCCAACTTCAATAACTAGCTTGTGTTTGATTCCAGACAATACCCTTGGGCCTGTATTTACAATGTGCAGATTCTAAAGTGTAATGAATTTTTGTCTTGCTTTTTTCACTTAAGATGTCATCAAAAGCTTTCCAATGTTTTTAATAGGATCCAAACTCCATGAATATTTTATGAAGTATAAACTTACCTAAAAATCTGTAATTTTCTTTTCTTTTTTTCCTGAAACACCTGAGCCAACTCTGAGCTCAACACTTAACCTGGGAATAAATCATTTTAAATAATAATGACCAAAATATTCATGAACACTTCAGCAAAAATCAGTGTTGGTTTACAGTATGAGCCTGAAAGTGAGAAGTCATTTCTTTGTCTCCAAGTAGCTGAGCCTTGTGACAGTGTAGATTAGATCCTGGAGTTCTGTTTTAGCCGCTGACTTGATCTGTGAATACATATCACAATTGAAGGGGCTATGGGTCACCTGGCTTAATTATAAACATGGCAGGGGCGGAATTGTGCTGACCTTTTCCATAGGTGCACATTCCAATTAGTAAAAAATGCTCTGCCTCCCAATTGGAGCTATGTCTTCATGACACATTTGCAGTCTGTGACTCTTTTGGATACACCATATCTACCATAATCCATCTCCACAAAAGTGTTATTGACCAAGACCTAGAAATGCTGGCTAATTCCAAGGAGGCTCTTTGTAGATTAGGAAATAGAGCTACAGAGAGTCATTTACCAAGGTCGTACAACCAATTCTCAGGCTCTTCCTACTATGGTTCACTAAATCAGGACTCCCCTGGGCAGAGAGGATGCACCCATAGTGTGTCACAGACAGATGCCAAAGGACCAAAGAAGAAAATGTGACAGGTTTTGATTTTTTTCTTAATCTAGAATACTCAGATCAGCACTTATTTTTCACAAATTTGTATTTGTGAAGCAGTATCCTGATAGCACTCCCAACTGAATTTAAGAATTTACGTTTTCCATGCCAGTTTTCTGTGCCTCGGTTTCCTCTTGCATCAAATGGAAATAAGAATAACTCTTGTATATAACTACTAGGGATTGTAACGTGTCTTTTAAGGTACTTTACAATATTAATTTGTATGACTTCAAGTAATTGCAATTAAAATGGTCACTCCCACCATTACGGATGTTATTCTTGAGTGAGGCGGAATTATGGGAGAACTTATAAGCACCTAAATTGGTAATGATCTCTCATGATTTTTACTTAGGGAAGATAGTCTTTCTTACTTGGTCTAGAACTCTCAAGGGGTAAATTTACTCCATTAGAAAATATTTTTGAAAGCAGCAAATATTTGATTATTGGGAGTTTGAAATGATTTAGAAAATTTAAATAGTAGATGTAGGAGTACATTTCATGAATGCCATCATGGCATTACTATTTACAAATTGAACTAAAATCTATGAAAATTTGAATAATCATCTTATTATAAAACAATCAATTTGGAATACCACTAATATAAAATTAGTTGCACACTATTTTGTCAGATGTCAGAAATCTACCATAAAGATGGATAGGTGGAAATGTGTTTGCCGTAGTGGTAATACTTAAAGATTTTGACTCTGTAACTTCTTAAATTAATGAATTTTCTAGAAATGTAACAGAAATACCATGATTGTATCTGTGGGGATGAAAATTTGGTTGCAGTAATCACCTAAACAGTTTATTTAGAATGATCTTGCGCTCACTGGCTGAGCGCACCGCGGGTGACACCACACCAAGGGTTGATCCCCTTACCGGTCACGAAAAAGACAAAAAAAAAAAATAATAATAATAATAATAAAAATAAAAATAAAAAATAAAAATAGAATGATCTTGGCTACATTTTAACAATTATTCAAATAAGGAAATAAATATTTTTTTCCAGTATTTGGCTAAAGGAAACTCTTTGTTAAAACTAGTTCAAACATATCCATTGGTATTTCCCCAAATTGTTGGTCAGTTAAGTGCATAGTATTAGTGTGGTTTTTTTTAAAAAATAATTTAGAATAGAGTTGTATTCATTTAGTTATAGAAATTATAAGTTAATCAATATAACTTTAATATCATTAAACCACTTGCGATTATTTTACACCTGCATCTTTGGTGAACACAAAGATTAATGTGTGAGTGCCAGGAAAAAAAGTTGCTTTTAATGGTTTCATTACTTTAGTCTTTAATTGACATACATATTTTTTATTATGCAAATTCAAAACTTTTAAAATGCTCTTTGCACATGTGAATAGTGTTTAGTGTATGTTGACAGCCAGACTGTATCATTATTATGCAGTGTTAATAGGGTCTGCATTTAAAAAATCATTTTCTGGGACTGTCAATTTATGAGAAAGGTTTATCTCTCTGAATATTCAACCAAAACCTAGAATATGAGCTTGAATTATTTTTAAATGCCTCTGTATTCCTACAATGTCTTTGATGTTTTATTCCTGGGGATTTTAGACTAACCTTTTGTTTTTCTCCCAGAGAGATTCAATGTGTATTTGATGCCATCTCCTAACTTAGATGTACATGGCGAATGTGCCTTGCAGATTACATATGAGTATATCTGTCTTTGGGACATCCAGAATCCCAGAGTCAAACTCATCTCTTGGCCGCTAAGCGCCCTGCGGCGATATGGACGTGATACCACGTGGTTCACTTTTGAGGCAGGGAGGTGAGTTGAATGAATTTTAATGACTCTTTTCCCAGTGTTTGTTAATTTTTTCTCAGGCTCATTTGAGGCCTGGGTTTATATGTAAGATCCAACCTGAAGTACACTTCAAGAAATTCATAGAGCTGTGGTTATGTAATGCGAAGGGTATTGTAAAATATGCATATATTCCACATGGCTTTTCTCCCCCTGGAGGATTCTAATGTTTCGTGAATATGATATGAATTTTCAGTGCACAGTTTGATCCCATACCACAAACTGGAGTTGGCCAAGGTAAAAATACTAAAAACATACCATTTACTAGGACAAACTGATGAACAGAGGCCAACTTCTTGACTTTTGGGAAACCTCCATATTGTGTTCAATGCATGTTTCCGCATCTGAACTAACTGTAGTGGACCTACTAAAAACATACCATTTACTAGGACAAACTGATGAACAGAGGCCAACTTCTTGGCCTTTGGGAAACCTCCATATTGTGTTCAATGCATGTTTCCGCATCTGAACTAACTGTAGTGGACTGTCCACATGGAGTTTATTGAGGTCCATTTATTTTGCTCAAAGTGTAATGAATGACACTAACACCGGAAGAGGTTAATTCTAAAACCTGCTTATCGTGAGATTAATAAGCACATTTAGGGCTTTATTTATTTATTTTTTTTTCCTTTTAAAAGTTAACCTGGGAGAGAGGTTAACAGTGCCAATAACATTTGGGCTGGTCATTACCTACAAAGAGACTCCTCTAATCACTATCTCATTTTCCTCGTCTTCCTCTCCTCCTCCCTCAAATTTTAGGCTTTTTTGAAACACTGCAGATAAATTTTATATCTTAGAATTTTAAATGACTAAGTTTTAAGGAATACAAATTCTTGTGTACATGGCCTGACATTACATTCAAGTTGAAAACAATCAACTTGTGACATTAAAATTGCTTCCAAGAGTGGACAGTTGCTCCTGACAGGAACATGATACTTGATATGAAAATAAAGGCACAAGTTCTAAACACCTAAGATCCTAATTCATGTAGGTAGATGGCAGTAATGCTCCCCTCAAATTAATCTGTTCACTCCATTTTAAACAAAGCCCAACTATTTAAAATTTAATTTTCAGAAATAGGATCAATTTGATGTTCTCGTAACTATCCTAGAAGGTTTTAAAATCGATCTTTCTAATACCTCTCTTTTCTGGACTATTTTATTTTCAAGTACCTAAAAGCAAGTTGGTGAATCTCCCAAAGACTACAAAGATCATCACTTAAAAAAATAATAAACCTTTAATGTTTAGAGCAATCCTGTTCTTTCGTTGAAATTACTTGTTTATTATCCTTATGGAAAAATCTCTATAGAAAATTAGAAATTTGTTTGGTCAGGTTGGTATATTTCCCTCTTTGGGTCTCAGAAATTTTTATCAATTGTAGCCAGTGAAAATGGTATGGAAAATGTTTTACAATAGGAATAGACTTTATTTTATTAACTATACACCTCATATCATTCCCCGTTTATGTTTTATGTTGATGCATAGAAGAATTTTGCATCCATCAGGACTTTTTGGGCCTTCTTGGGGCAGCACTTATTCAAACATTAATATTTTTCAATCATCCTTTGATTTACTGTTTGTAGGAAATAGTAGTAAGAAAAGAATATAGCTATTTTATGGGAATATTTGAAAGCTAAAATCTTAGTAAACTTTTCTAGTATCTCATGACTATTTGAAAATTTTTTTGAAATTATCTCATTAATTTTTCATGTGTAAAATGAATACTACTCATATTATGCAAAAGTTTAATTTATTCATATTAACCTCTATAGAACTGCTAACTATCTAGGAGATTATTTAAAAGACATTGATATTTCTCCTAAGTGCTGTAGGAAACCATAAAAATTTATGTGCAGGTGTGTTTGGGTCTGTGTGTGAGTATGGGATGTATGTGTGCAGTGGTGCTTATGTATGTGGTATAATTGCATTTGTATTTTGTAAATGTCACTCTGACCTCATTGTGAACAATAGGATAGAGGGGACAGGTGTGAATGTTGGGACATTATGAAGTAGCTCAGGTGAAAGAAATGGCAGATATAAAGTATGGATATGTTGGAGACATAAATTCTAGAATTCTTTTAATGGTCTTTGACCAAAAGCTATAAAGTGCTGACTTGGAAAATGGAAGAATTTTAATCCATGACTTTGATGCCCCTTTATAGTCAGCCTTTTTGGATATTTCACCCAAGAATTCCAGCAGTTAGATGATCATAATACCTACAACCCAGGCTAGGCAGTGTTGTGCCTCCAATATTGTAGGGACATAAAATATTGATGGATTTTGAATACCATTCTTATTCAGTGGTCATGCTTTGTAGGGCTGTGCAAACTTGAGACTGAATAGTCAGAAGAGAAAGTATGGGGATTGTGTTCTTAGAATCTCACTCATTTCTTAACAGCAGGGAGTAGTGTAAGGAGCACTGGTTCAGTAGTAAGAGAGACCCTAGATTCTAATCTCTATTCTTTACTAGCTGTTGACCTTGTGCAAAATATTTAACTTCTCCTGTAAGTTTATCTGAGTGATAACTTCCTTGCAGGGTTCTTGTAAGGTAAAAGCAGCAATGCATGTAGATCATCTAGAAGGGTGCTGGGCTTTTTCTAAATAGTATCTTTGATATTCTATTATGATTACTTTTGGAGGAGGCTTGCAGGATACAGACAGTGTTAAATGCAAGGTAATATTGCTATTTTATATTTTGCCTGAAAGCTCAAATAAAGATGAATTTTTATAGTTACCATCAAGATGTTCAGGATAATAAGATCATTTGTGTTCTCCCAAGCATGACGGTTTCATATCTGCCTTGCTTTATTAGTGAAGGTAATTTTTTTCTTGGCTATTTTTAGATGTGTTCAAAACAAGGCAGTTTTATATTAACTAATATATATTTTTCTCCCTCTCACATCAAGAGGTGAGCAAGAGTTAAGTCTCTTTAGGCAAATAGTTTTCACATATCCATCATACATCTGTAAAAGTTTGACAATGTCCTCCTTGAGCACACAGGGAATCTTCTTCTGAAAGACATTGGGCAAAGTTTGGCTCATATTAAGCCTCTCTTAGAGCTTGAACTGAGTGTTATTCCTGCTCAGTTGCCCCATTTTCATAGCCAGCAATGGGGCATGCATAATAAACAGGACTGAGAGTTAGAGGAAATAAAATATAATTACAGTTCTACCACACAGTGGCTGTGGGAATTTGAGTATGTCACCTTACTTGCTGAGTTTCCATTGCCACCTGTAAAATGGGGACAATATATAACATCTCTCACAAGATTGCTATGAAGATTAAATAAAGGCACATTTTAAAACACCTGGAATAGTGTTTGGCATGTGTCAACCCAAATTGACACAGAAAAATTCATTGGCTTATGTTACTGAAAGTGCAGGGAGTAGGGATGGCTTCAGGCTTGGTTTGATCCAGGGTTCAAGTGATGACCCTAGGTTTTATCTGATAGCCCTGTTTCTTCTAGAATGGCTTCCTTTTAAAGGCTCCTTCTGGTGACTTCCAGGAGCTTTGGGATCTTCCCACACCATCAACCAACAGAAGAGAGATAAATTAGTACTATACGTTGGTCATTACATTCACTTGGTATCAGGCACTGTACTGAGCACATACCCAAAGCCCACAGGGTACAAATAAAATGGGGATGGTTCTCCCAAGGCATGAAGGGGATTTTATTGCCATCAGAAAAGAAATGGATATGAGGTTTTAAAAAACTAGCAAAATGTGTTCAATGTGGTATTTAATGATTGCTCAAAGCAAATAGGGTCAAAAGGCTATTTGACTGTAATTAACAATATCACTCATAGTGGGGCTGATCTCCAGGACAGTGGTTCTCAACCAGGGGAGATTTTGCTCTCAGAAGACATTTGGTAATGTTTGGAGACATTTTTTGTTGTCAAAACTCAGGCAAATGGTGCTATTAGCATCTAGTGTTTAGGGGGGCCAGAAATGTTCCTAAACATTCTACACTGCATAGAACGGTTCCCCATAATGATGACTTATCAGGTTCAGTGATCCAGTTGAAAAATTTGCAGTAGCAGGTTTATCAGCCATTGAAAATAATTACTAACATTTATTGATCCCTTATTATATGAAATTAACTGTACTAACCATTTTATATGCACTATCTCCTTCAAGCCACTCACTGATCATACAAACTAAGGGGTATTCCTATCTTAAGAAGAAATTTGGGCAAAGGCATGAGGTCCAAAGGCATGAGACTAATCAATGGAGGATTCATGACTCACACTCAGATCTTCCACTTCCAAGCTATATAGATTTCTAAGAAGACATATTTCTACTGGAGTTTAGCCCAGTTCTCAACTTTTGCAGAGATAAGGAAGAGAAAGCATACTTACACAACCAGAGGCTGCTGAAATCATTTTAGATGGTCTTGTCAGACTGTTACCCCTTCCCTTTGATGCCACCTCAATAAGCCATCCATCAATAAGCCAAAGACTTGCAAAAAATGTTGGTAATTTGAATATGTCTCCTCAGCCATGAACTAGTGTATAAATGTTCTTAGTCTGACTTTAATTTTGGAAGCCCCTGTTCGTTCTTTTAGCTTGGAGTGTAGGCACATACATCCAGTGTTGGGCAGAAGTATGAGGATCGTAGGTCATCAGGGTGTTCTACATGCTGTTTATCCTCCCCCAATTTCAAATTTCACCATATTTCTATTTTTTTCAAGAAATTCAGAGATGAAATATAAAACTTTTAATAAGGTGCAATTACACAATTAATTGCCCCTGGAGATAAAGAACGGTTAGTTGATTTTGGGGATCGAGAGACATGTTTATTTTGTTTGAGACTTTTCTAGTCTTTTATCTGTTTCTTTCCACTTCAAAGCCCCAGAACCTCACTGAAGCACTTCACACTGGCAGGAGCTCTGACATTTTTATGCGAAGATCCAATTGACATGAAATTCTAACTGCAGCAATATCCCTCATGGAGCCATCCTTGAAAT